GGCATTTCCATTCCCATCTTAGTTAGAACCAGTGAGCACAATAAAACTAAGAAAGGAGGTTTAAGAAATGAAAACATATTGCAGAAAGCAGGCATCTTCAACCAGTTTATTGAGCTCTTGACTAGAGGATTTTTTATTTTTTAAAAGGGTGGAATATCTCTGAGAAGGAATTCACCCTAATATGCACAAGTAATTAATCAAGAAAAAGAAATATCTTTGAGAAGAAATCAATCCTGATATGGGTAATTAATAAAAAGAAAAAATCCACCCAACTTTAGGAACTCTGTTCAGGGAGAAGCAGCCTTGCATAGAGAGCAGGGAGAGCCATCGTGTTCTCTTTTATCATGTGTAACAAATTACTTTCCGTGCAAAATGCCAAGTTGCATTTCCTACCCGGTGCATTGCTGTGAACATGATTCTGGCACATGGTGGCTTGGCCAGCGATGCTCCTGATATCAATCTCGAGGACTATTCAAAACCAGGATGGGAGTTAGAGTTGATCTGTGCCAACATTCCTGCTGAGAATTAGCCCAGTTCCATGATGTGTGGGGGAGCCCCGGTGCCCTGCCCTTGCCTTTTTGGGGTACATGGATACAGCTGAGAGACTCTGCAGGGAATGTGAAGCTAGGAAACCACACCATAGGAACACGGTCACTTTTCCATAATAAGTTCTAGGTGAAAAATGATAAAAAGGTCAGATTTTTCTCCCATTTAGCGCAGCTGTGGTGCTTGCATGAAAAACTATTTCTGCTCCAGCAGCTGGAGGAATGCACAAGAATTGGAGACAGAATCCAAACGAGCAGGGCTCCAGGAGCCCTCTGGGTCTTTGCTTAACTCTTCCAACAACCTGGAGACCCAAGGGACAGATTAACGGCTTGGCTTGTGCCTTCATTTGTCAGGTGAAGAAACGGAGGCCCAGGGGCCTGAAGTGGCTTTCCCACACTGAAAGTGATTAGGGGCCAAGCCAGAGTTTGTAGTACGTAGGTCTTCCAACTCTGGGCCAAACTGTAGTCCACAAACCTGAGCATGGTTATAATTAGCCAGGTCGTCAGAGATAGGGCAGGAAGTATAAGAAGGGTATACTGTGATATCTTTGTTGACTGGGGATAAAAGATAACGATGAACTCAAATTTTGGTCTCTATGCCTTTATCCTGTTTCATCTGTCTTCCCGTACTGTATGTTTCCCAAACTATATGTTTATCTGTTTCACCGCACAGATTGCCTGTTGGATCAGAATAGGGCTTGGTTTTCTGGTTCATCCCTATTGACTTAACCACTCAGAAGACTCGAGCATCCTAGGACCTCATCTATCCCACCACGTCCTTCCACCTTCTGATCACGTATGAAAGGGTTCAGTACGACCAGTGTAGCACCTGTCCCCAAGAAAGCCTATTTATTACTTTTCTACCTCAGATGGCCCGGTGGATCCAAGGCCTTGGTTTGATGTCAATATTTCATTTGCTCTTAGACTTTCTAACCCCCTAGATTTTAATTTGGGAAACCTTTGCATGGTATTTGTATAAGTAATAGTTTAGGTTGGTTTGCACAAGACCTATCATGTTTTGTAAGCAGACACACAGAGTCAGTTCTCACTTGAACTTACTGTTTTTAAACATTGTTCTTTCCTATTAAGAATCCCCTCCTTTGAGTTGCATCTGTTCTCCTTCCATGGCCTCTTCCCCCTCGTGGTAATAATGAGGCATGCCTCCTGTTTGGGGTCGCTTAACCTCTCTCGCTTCACTGGCAGGGAGGATTCATGAGTAGCAATATATTCTCCGAAGAGTCTGACCTGGAAACTGAGCATGTCATGGGAAAGCACAAGGTACTTGATCCCATAATTAATGAAGGTTATTGCATCCTGGCCATTCTCTGGGTAAGGGCCAGAGAGGTCTGACTCTGGCTTACAACAAAGTGCTGCAGAACCATATTTCATCTGTTCAGATCTAATATTAAGTTGTACTCAGATTTTCCTTTAAGTGGGCTGCAAAACTGCACTTATTGAGCACCTGCTAGGTTTACACGGGAGATCTCTTAGCTGGGAGTTCCTTGTTGCTAGGGACTGTGTCCAACATTGCACCTGACACACAGTAGGAGAGCCAGAAATATGTGTCTCAATGAAGGAGATGGGTATCCTCTTCTGCGGCCACACCAGATGGAAGTGGTTCTCCCCTCACCTAACACACCCAGTTCTTTCCTGAGGCTGGGCTACAACTTGACCTTCTTCCAAAGATGAAAAGAAAAGACATTCATTATTCATCTGAGATTTGCCTTGCAGTGTTTAGCATGAATTTGGTGTCTAAGGAAAGGCTGGCAAAGCACTGACATAGGAAAAATTATGCTTAGGTATTCTTCTCTGATGACCATAGACTGAGCAAGATTTTGTATAGTTAATGTAGCCATGAAAATAACCATAGTGGCAACAAACAAACAAACAAACAAACAAAACACCATACATATCAATCCACAGAGGGTTTGAGGATGGTCAGGGAGTAGGGCTAACAGAACATAGTGCCCACCAGGCCAACACTCTCTTTACCAACTCCAAAACACTTAAATGTCTTACACTGTATAAAATCCATGATTTCTCGCTTTTGCTTATTTTTAAAAATGTCTAACTGAAGGCAGAATATTTAAGATCAGCATTTGTGTCTACAGAAGGTGAAATTTCTACTCACTTTGAAATCAGTTTGGAGTTTGAGGATGAGATTTAGGGGAGGAGGAAATACACATTAGCTGCTCGATATGCACAGAAAGGCAGGTAGGCGGCCAGGGCAGAGTGTTGGGGGAAGGGAGGGAAGGAGAGGGCAAGAGCCACACTTGTGCTCTAGATTCAGCCCTATAGAGTCCAACAGGTTCTGCCAGGAGCCAACTGGGTAACCAGGTAACATCCATTGACGTCTAACTCTTGAGTTTTCTCACCTTTGAAATGAGTTAGTACCTAATTTTTAGGGGCTTTGAGAGTCTTAAATGAGTGAATGCGTGTAAATATCTAACATTAACTTAATAAATGTTAATTTTTTAATACAATGAGTCATGACATTCATGATCTCAGTGATTATTTCCTCTGAGAAAGCACCTATCTTTCTGGACTTTGACATGAGTCCCCATCTATTAATATGGTTTCTTCTGGGCAGAGAGAGCCACACACCTGAAATCCTCAGAACAGGCAGCTGTAGACACAGCCTCCTGGGGATGGCCCTGATGCTGTTACCCAGCTGCCTGTGGGTGCTGCTTACCTCTCCTGCGAGGCCTCAGGCCTCTGTCATGATTCCCACCCACTGATGGTCCCTGGAACAAAGGGCCGATCGATCCTCCTTTCTTTGGTGTACTTGTCTTTTCTTCTTGAAAGAGACAGAGCATGTCTGCCTGAGAAGGGGGCCTTTGTTAGCCAGTCTTCATAGGGAGGTAACCTTGTCACAGAAGAGACAAGCTGGCAAGGCAGGGAAGGAGCCATGTGGCTGGTGAGCTGATCCATTCATCTTTAGGGTCAGATGTAGGCGTTTCTCAACCCCTTCTTAACTAACATTGGTCCACAAATAAAGAGGCTCTAATTTTACCTCTTTCAGAAACATTGCTGTTTGTTCCCCAATTTGGGTTTCCTCAGAAGGAGAGTGTCTGTTCTAAAACTTTTGCCATGAGGTGGAGTTAGACTACAACCACAAAGCATTTAAGCCAGCTAATCCAGAAGAGGAGGGGATGGTGTGGAAGGTCCCTAGACCTTCCACAGCATATCCGAAACAGTGGATGTCCATGGACAGGATGTCCATGCAGTATGAGACCTGCTGTGAATGGGCTGGGGCCCTCCCCCACCATCTCCTCCTCCTCTGCACTAGGAGTGGAGGGAGAGGGGCCCTGGCTCCCCAGGCCTGCACATGGGTTCTCAGGCCCAAATTTTTTACATCACTTAATCCTCAGGACAACTAAATTCTAAGGCAGATACTGTACTATTTTTTTCCCATTGATTTAAAAAAAAAATCTTTATTGTTGAAAGTATGATAGATGTCCCTTTCCCACCTCCCCATTGACTCCTTCTAGTTCAGTTCCACCTCCTGACCCAGGCCTTCACCACCCTGTTGTTATGTCCACGGGTTATGCATGCATGCGTACAAGTTCTTTGGTTGATCTCTTCCCACCCACCCACCAGATACTGTTTTTAGCTTCATTTACAGAGGAAGGAACCCCGAGGCTCAGAGAAGCTAAATAAATTTTCCAAGATCAAACAATAAGTGATAGAATCAGTAAAAGAAACTCAGGCCCCAGAGCCTCTGCTCTTACCTGAGACTGAGCACTGCTCGAGGAATTACTAGTTCTGCTTGAGGATCAACAAGCGGCTGGAGGAATCCAACATAAATTCAGCATTTCTCTCCTCCAGGTTTTCAAAATACTTAATTTTTGGTAGGTCCAGGCACAGGTAGCATTTCTCATCTCAACTAGAGCAAACTGCCTACATGGTGGCTCAGTGCTTTCCATAAAGTGACCTCTGCCCTCCAGGAGAGTGGCGCCATTACTGGTCAGGTTCTCCAGAAGACCCTGAGGTGGAGTTTGGGGTGCAGGCTGCTTATCAGGTTTCCCTGCTGAAGGGGAGTGGACACAGGGGAAGCCGTGCTGCAGTGCAGACTTGACGTCCTCAGCTAACCATAGGTGGCCTGGCTGAGCATATATGGTCTGTAGAGTTGGCCTGTGGTGGGCTGAGAGAGCAGGCCTGTATACCCCGGCCCTCAGTGGTTGGATGAGGGATGCTAGGGGAGGACATCCCTGTGGGCAAGAGAGCTTTTTCTAGCTGAGGCAGATTCTGAAGGAGCTGACAGCTTCTTAGTTGCTGAGGCACTAACATTTCTTGTCCATACAAATTGACCCCAGGAGCTGTTCCTGTGTCATCAGTGGGTGAGTTTGCTTTGCAGGGTCCATTTCTACTGACTGTCACTGTTGCCCCTAGCTGGCTCAGGCCACCGACCATCTCAGTGCACAGTGTGTGAAACTTCTCTCCATTTCCTTTCAGGTTGGAAAGCTTATCCAAGAAGCAGCTGGAAGAAGTAATTTGAAGCGAGTAACTCTGGAACTTGGCGGGAAAAGTCCCAATATTATTTTTGCAGATGCTGATTGTAAGTCAACCAGGCCTCATAAGTGTTCCGTCACATGCCCTTCAGCGATCTCTCCTATCTTTCTTAAAACACACACAAAACTTCAGTGTTGAGAGTATTACAAATGTCCCCCATTTTTCCCTCCATTTCCCCCTTCCACCCGGTTCCTGCCCTGCCCCAGGCCTTCACCACCACTGTATGATCTGTGTTCATAGGTAATGCATAAATGCATGTAAATTCCCCGTAATCTCACCCCATCCCTACCCTCATCCCCCCTTCCCTCTGAGATTCATTAATTTGTTCCATGTGTCCATGCCTCTGATTGCATTTTATTCATCAGTTTATTTTGTTCAATTATTTGTATTTTTGGATTCAATTGCTGATAGGTGTGTATTTATTGACATTTTATTTTTCATAATCTTGATCATTGTTTCCTTTTTTTTCTTCATCTTTTTCTTCAGTAATACCCTTCCCTTCAACATTTCATGTAATACTGGTGATGAACTTGTTTAGCCTTTATATACATGACAATGAGAAAAAGATCTTTAATGTTAAGGGACACTCAAGAAGAATCTGGACTCTTCCTTCAAGGGGAAAATAGTTTAATATAGGAAAAGAGCACTTATCAATGTGGAACTGAATAGGATTTGTTTTCTAGACACTAATAAGCCATTTTGACCTTGTGCTGTGTAGAATAGGGTGGAAGGGGTGAAGGCTTGGTCAGTGCTATATACTAGAAAGACCAATGTGCTGTGATCTGAACACCTGAAATACAACCTCCCTGCCTAGTTTCAAGAAGTCTGAAACTTCTCAAGTGTGCCTGGTGGCTTTGCAGGTCATTTAGAAAATTCTTCACTAGCCAACATTTTCCCAAGCCCACAGCCTCTCCTCTATTTGGTCAGCCCAACCCCTTTCTGTTGCTCCCGTGACACTCAGACAGGAAGACAACACACGGTGGTCAGCTCCGTGTGAGCAGACCCAAATTGGAGGTGATTACGCCTTGGCAGTGGGGCTTTAAGCAGTAATCTAGGGAGCCCCATGTCTCCTGGAAGGATGCTGTCTGGTTCACTCTGCACAGGTGTGGTCTCTCTGTTTTGAAAAACTGGCCAGGAAATGACATTCCCAGTCTCTCTCAGCCATCCTGTTCCTTCCCCACATCCTGCCCTGCAGAGCTGCTCCCCGACTCTCACCGCTGGGGAGAACAGGGAGCAGACTGCCTGCATTCCAGCCCCAGCTGGCAATGTGCAAGGAGTTCAGCTCCAGTTTTATACTAGATGCCAGGGGATCAGAATTCTTACAGCTAAATCCTCCCGAGGAGTGGGCACTTCATCGACGTGATGTTGATGGATTGATTCAGTCATTTAGCAGCTAGCACACACCAGAGTTAATTCTGTCTTGAAATATAAGAGATGGAAATGAAAGCGCTATCACAGGCTATTATACAAATCCCTGTAAAAATAGAGGAAATGTGATGTCTTCAAAGAAAAGCCATTGCTTTGTTAAATTTACCAAAACACCAATTAAACATAACAGCCACAAGGCCCTATAGATTAAGGGTTGCACATTGGTAGTCACAAGCCAAATGCCAGTCTAACTATGTTTATAGTCTAGATGTTAAACAGTGCTTAAAAAAAAACAACCTGTACATTAAAAGTACCGATTTCTGTTTTTCCTTAAAATTGGAAATGTGGCAATCGTGGGCTTATCTCCATGCATAGCAATAGCCAAACGCGGTGGCTTTCCTTCCCAGCATCCCTCACATTATTTTACTGGCTGGCAGATTCACACCATTACGTTATCTGCCAACCCCTGTGAATTGGGGTTTGGGCCTCAAAGAGGTGACGATGCCCAAGTTCACACAGCCAGTAACGCCAGGGTCTATTAGAGCCACAGCTAGGCTGTGTTCTCAGTCCAGTGCTCTCTCAGTGACTCGCCCTGGGCTGGGAGGGGAGGGCCGGCCCGAGGACGGCCCCTCCCCGGTGAGGCAGTGCTGGGAACGTGCCTTTTCTCTCACAGTGGACCACGCGGTGGAGCAGGCTCACCAGGGCGTGTTCTTCAACCAAGGCCAGTGCTGCACAGCGGGCTCGCGCATCTTCGTGGAGGAGTCCATCTACGAGGAGTTCGTGAGGAGAAGCGTGGAGCGGGCCAAGAGGCGCATAGTGGGGAGCCCCTTCGACCCCACCACGGAGCAGGGACCCCAGGTAGAGAAACCATGAACCACCCCTTCCTTTATATTTTAAAAAATATTGATTTTAGAGAGGAAGAGAGAGGGAGAGATAAAAACATCTATGATGAGAGAGAAGCTTTGATCGGCTGCCTCCTGCATATCCCTCCCTGGGGATCAAACCCACAATCCAGGCATATATTCCAACCAGGAATTGAACTGTGAACTCCTGGTTTATGGTCCATGTTCAACCACTGAGCCATACTGGCCGGGCCCTTTCTTTACTTTATCCCTGGTGAGCATAGTAAGTGATCACTTAGTGGGACCCAGCAAAGCACCACTTTCCTTTATCCCGCTGCCTCCTCACTCTTCTGCCTCGTCTTCACAGCTGGAAGTGTGGCCGGTGAGGCATTGCTTATGTCTTAGATTCTCTTTCCATTTCTAAATTTTATTTCTGGAAAACAGAAGGATTAGAGTTGCCTTAAGGATACTCTCAACTTTGGGGGTAAGTTGGAGTCGCTCAGCCCTAAAGGAAGACCTAGTCATGACAAGGTGGATCTTGCCATGAAAACCCAGTCCCCGCCCTGACCACGGACTTCAGACATCCTTGTGAGGCCGCAGTCAAGGAGGCTGGGCCTCTCTATTCTCAGAAGCCATTTATCCTTTTTCTCAGCTGCAAAGGACTCCCCTGATGCGCCTGGGGAGTCCATTCATGTTTGGACATGAAGACGGTATGGCTGTCTCTCACTCTGAGTGCCTTGTGCACTGTGGTGGATGAGGAGGCAACGAAAGTCCTGCAGCCTGCTCTCCTTAGTGCTGCAGGCTTTCCACAGTCATCAAGGCATAGTTCCAGATGGAGTTCTGGTTTTAAACTGTAGATAGAGGCTGAGAATTTGTAAAGAATGTGTGGACCAGATCTCATCTGGGCCACTAGAGCCTGGGTTTTCCTCATAAGAATCAACACCTACTCAGTTTTGGGGCCATTTGAGAGAAGATTGATGTCCTAGCTCAGTGGTCGGCAAGCTCATTAGTCAACAGAGCAAATATCAACAGAGCCAAATACAACGATTGAAATTTCTTTGGAGAGCCAAATTTTTTAAACTTAAACTTCTTCTAACCCACTTCTCCAAAATAGACTTTCCCAGGCCGTGGTATTTTGAGAGCCACACTCAAGAGGCCAAAGAGCTGCATGTGGCTCGTGAGCCACAATTTGCCGATCATGGTTCTAGCTGATTATTTGAAACTCAGGAATGTCAGTTTTTATATTATTTACCATAAAAATTGCGTGATGAGCCTATAACTTTTGGAAAGCAAGACTGACTTTATTTCATGGAGTAGGAAGTAAGGCCTCACTATTTATTTATTTATTTATTTATTTATTTATTCATTTATTTATTTATTTATTTATTCTGCCTCCTTGTTTTTAGGCCTCACTCTTTAAACTTAACCCTTTTCTCTAAAGGTGGAACATTACATTAAAATTTTATCCCAAAAGAGGTTGCATTAACTCATATCTTGTTTTCATCTTTTTGGTATCAGTACAACTTGTTAAACTCTTCATTTTGGCTATAGAAGTCCATTTTCCTCCACACAGTGAATAATCAATTCACCAGGATCTCCATCACTTAGAAACATTGTGTAAATATTAAACTGGTATATCTGATTTAGTGGTATCACCAGAGTCGTTCATTTATTAGAATTCTTAATATATTTGTTTGCACCAAACAAATTGCCATTTTCCATGGATAAAAAATGTTTAAATAATAGTATTCCATATGATTTGACTAGATATGATGAAGCGTTTTAAAAACCCAAATAATTCTTGAAAACATGCTTATTTCTGTTTTACTTGGAGTCACTTGGCAATTTTGTCTGTAGATTGATAAGAAGCAGTACAACAAGATCCTGGAGCTCATCCAGAGCGGTGTGGCCGAGGGCGCCAAGCTGGAGTGTGGAGGCAAGGGGCTGGGCCGGAAGGGGTTTTTCATCGAGCCCACGGTGTTTTCCAACGTGACTGATGACATGCGCATTGCCAAGGAGGAGGTATCAAATACAGGATTCTTACATTTTGGCATGTTAGAATAGCATTTCTAGTACAATGATATTAGTGTTTTCTATTTTGTATATATCGTATATAGCAATAAACATGGCTATGCAAATCTCTGTTTCAAGAAAAAAGTTAAAAAGACAGGGAAGGAAGGTGACATATTCCATGATTGCAATTGTTATTAGCCAGCAGAATCATCAGAATAGCCAGTTGTGGGGTCACCAGGCAGTTAAGCACGGAAGGAAAGGCAGCCAGGCATCCTCACAGTGATGCCGCAGAGGGATCACATAGGTCAGCCAGCACCCAGAACAGTGCCTCCTCGGCTCTGCTCAGGCTCTGAGACACAGCTGAAGTACACACAGTGGGACCAAGTGACACCAGGGAGGGTGGGGCGTGGGGCATCAAACACACTCTAGGGATAGACTCCTGTGTAATCCATTTCTGCAAAGTTTGGAGTATTTTCCAGTTTTGTGCTGCTGAACATAAACATCTATACTAATAAAAGGGTAATTGCAAATTGGCCAGGACGCCTTCACACAATGAGTGAAGAGCAGGCTGTGTAGGGCAACCAGGCTGGCAGGGGGAGGTAGGGAGGGGCAACTAGGCTGGCATGTGGGGAGTGAGGGGCGATCAGGCCCAAGCAAAGGCAGTTAGGGGTGATCAGGTAGGCAGGTGAGCGGTTAGGAGCCAGCAGTCCTGGATTATGAGAGGGATGTCTGACTGATGGTTTAGGCCCCAGCCAAGGGATCAGACCTAAACTGGCAGTTGGACATCCCCCAAGGGGTTTTGGATGGAAGAGGATGCAGGCCAGTCAGAGAAACTCCCCCCATGCATGAATTTTGTGCATTGGGCCTCTAGTTATTTAAATAATGAAGGCAGAGAACACTTTCTTTGAAATGTGGAAAGCAGGCAAAGGAATGGCATAGCAAAGATGTTGAGGCAAACTATCTTGTTGCAGATCTTTGGCCCTGTTCAGGAAATCCTGAGGTTTAAGACTATGGATGAAGTTATCGAAAGAGCCAATAACTCTGACTTTGGACTCGTAGCCGCTGTCTTTACCAATGACATCAACAAGGCCCTCACAGTGTCTTCTGCCATGCAAGCTGGGACTGTTTGGTAAGATCTGTCTGTGTCATCATTCTGGCCATAACAATTCCTGGGGTGGTACGGGGGCTTTGCCATTCTCCAGAGCCTGGGTGAAGTACACGTGTGTCCTCTGGAAGGATGGGGAAGGCCCAAAGCAGCAGACGTCACCCTGAGAGGGGACACAGCCTTTACTGGCTAGATTAGGAAATTCAAATGAATTATATATTTTTCCATCTGGAACAAAGGAAATAAAACTTACCAAAAAAAATAATGCCAATGGGATTATTTTTGTGTGAGCAGAATACACACTAACATAACACTATTTTCTTCTTTCAGGATCAATTGTTACAATGCCTTAAATGCCCAGAGCCCCTTTGGGGGATTCAAGATGTCTGGAAATGGGAGAGAAATGTAAGTTCTCTAAGTAGCTGGTTCTTAGTATAGGAGAGGACTCCCCTTACTCATTAAACAAGCATTTGCTTGAATGTACACCACTGTAAGCTAAGCTCCGTGCTATATGTTACAAAGATGAATAAACACAATTCTCTCACCTGAGGTGGGAATGGGGAAAAGTTAATGTACCAGCAATGCCATATGATAAGGGCCATTAGAGTAGTATGTCAAACATTTTGTAAGCATAGATGCAGAACCAATTGATCTCACCTGAGGGGGTCAGAAATTTTTTTAGGAGCAGGCATTCCAGGCAGAGAGAATAGCAAGAACAAAAGCGTGAAGGTACAACAAATATAGACTAGCCAGGGACCAAACCAAGTTTGGAGTGCTTAAAACTAAGGTCATTGACTGCTAGCCCAGGGACAAAGGTGGCTGGTAATGTTTGTTTTGCCTCATATTTAAAAACTAGAGGCCTGGTGCATAAAATTCATGCACGGGGAGTGGAGTGAGGGTGGTTGTCCCTCAGCCCAGCCTGCACCCTCTCCAATCTGGGACCCCTCGAAGGATATCTGACTGCCCATTTAGGTCCGATCCCATGAGCAATCAGACATCCCTCTCACAATCCAGGATTGCTGGTTCTCAACTGCTTGCCTGCCTCCTTCCTAATTGCCCTTCCCTCTTCTCCCTGCTAGTCTGATCACTCCCAACCACTCCCCTGCCAGCCTAATTGATCCCTAACTGCTCCCCTGCCAGCCTGTTTGCCTCTAATTGTCCTCCCCTGCAGGCCTGGTACCCCCCACTCCAACTGCTCTCCCCTGTAGGCCTGGGTCCCTCTCAACTGCCCTTCCCTGCAGACCTGGTCACCCCAACTTCCCTCCTCTGCTGTCCTGGTCACTCCTAACATCCCTCCCCTGCTGGCCTGATCACCCACAACTGCCCTCCCTTGAAGGCCTGGTCTCTTCCAACCACCCTCTCTTGCTGGCCATCTTGTGGTGAAAATCTTGCTGGCCATCTTGTGGTGAAAATCTTGTGTCCGCAGGATCTTTGACCACATGGGGGCAGCCATATTGTGTGTTGGAGTGATGGTCAATCTGCATATTACTCTTTTATTAGATAGGATGGAGGCCTGGTGCATGGGTGGGGGCCAGTTAGTTTGCCCTGAAGGCTGTCCAGGATCAGGGTTCCCTTGGCGCATGGCTCAGCCTGGGCAAGGGGCCTGTGGTGGTTTGCAGGCTGGCCACACCCCCTGGCAACCCAAGCAGAGGCCCTGGTATCTGGGGTTTATTTATCTTCTATGATTGAAACTTTGTAGCATGGAGTGGAGCTAAGCCTTCTGATAGCTCTGTGGCTGCCACCATTTCTGTTTGGATTTATGTATCTTTTATCATTGAAGTTTTGGAGCCTTAAGCAGAGGCCTGAGCCAGCAAGGGTAGGTGGAAAGCTTGGCTTCCTCCATTGCCAGGGAAACCCAAGCCTCCCTCCTCCTCTCTGTGGCTGTAACCATCTTGGTTGGGTTTATTTGCATATTTGTTTCTGATTAGCTTGTGGGCATGGCTTGTGGGTGTAGCAGAGTGATGGTTAATTTGCATATTACTCTTTCTTTTAGATAGGATCTTTATGGTCCATTCTATAACAAGGAGGCTCTAAATAAATCTAGATTCCTTGCTTATTTCCTTCTCCCTATAGAATTGCTGCAGCTGTTCACCATTTCCCCACCCCTCCTGCTGCTTGTGGGAACTGAGTATTGGTTGTCATTCATTTTACACATACCTGATTCACTCACCAGCTCAGCACCTGTAGCAAGTCTGGAAATGCAGCGTTAGTGCATAGCATGAATGAGTGGTTTAATCACAATATCAAAGGCCTTCAAGGGGCATTCTGTGGGAATTGAGGAGATCCCAGAATGTTTAAGGCCAAGATTCATGGCACAAGAGGATGGTTGGGCAGAGATTATAAGAAGATGACCCGCTAGAAGGAATTTGCAGTGACAATAATGATACCATTAGTAAAATGCCTTATCTGTGTTTGGCTTTATGCTAACTTGTATCCTAACATCTGATTCAATTTTTACAATGATCTTTTAGGGTAAATACTTGTCTTTATATTACAGATAGTTTAGAGGGGGAATGGAGGATTAGAGGAGTTGTGTAGCTTGCACAAGTCATACATCCAGTAAATGGCATATCTGAGATTTGAACCTGGAATTCAGTGGCTCCAAATGCACTTAGTTTCCATAAGATCAGCCAAGGAAGCGGGGGGCGAGGGGGAGAGGAGGCCAGGAAAGGGTGGGCATAAGGACTCTACAGGCACAGGATCAGGACAGAGTCCTGAGATGCTAAGGACCTGAAAAATGGGACCGAAGTTGAGAAAATGTAGACTCAAGAGGGATTTTATTTGCAGGCTTCATATACAAATGGACTTTTTGGGTAGCATTTGGAGAATTAATGATAGCCAGGGTCTTCCTGAGGTGACATCTACCCTCCCAAGCAAAAAAAAAAAAAAATGTTTATTTTGAAAAGAGCTGGACCCATGTTTTCTAAATCCTGTGACTCACAAGAGGAAACATATTCCATGTCCTGTCCTCTTCCATTACTGAATGCATCTTCATTATTATTACTTTTTGAGAAAATGCTCAGTTAACTGTCATTCTTCTAACAAATATTAAGTAGAGCACAAGGCTAGGTCTATGGGGGAAGATTCAACTCAGTAAGGTAATTAAGATCATATTGGGTAAATGAAATATACAGCATGGTGAGCTGAAGAAGTCCAGGAAACCTTCAGATGTGATCTATTGTAGCAGTTGGAATTGGCCTTTAAAGGAGAGGAACATTTAGGTAGGTGGAGAGAGGAAGATAGGTTTTCAGGGTTGTGGCCGGTTGAGAGGAGTACGTAAAGACACTGTGGGAGAAATCAGTGTGATTTAAGGGGAAGTGCAGTGAACCCATAAGACTAACACAGAAGGACTACATGCTTAACACATTGTGGACGGATCACAAGAATTCTCGCTTCATATTACACAGTGTTTTACAAAATGTCCTACTTTAAAAATATATTAGCTTGTAAGAACATGTAATAAACAACTTCAAAATGTGATGGGTATTTAATTTTAAACCGTGCCTCTAACATTTATGTAAGACTATTTTTGTAACTTGTTCAATAGAAACTTACCTGGCTACAGGGTAAAGCTAGCAATAAAACTGGTCCTGGTCCGTAATGTGTTAAGATACTTTAACTGGTCATTTCCAGCCCATTAAACCATAAAGCAGGTGAAATTTTGAGGAAAAGAGGAGACTTTGTAGAATCACACTGCTCAGATGTGTATCCTGACCTATAGCATTTAATACCTGTGCAACTTTGGGCAAGTTACTTAATCTTACTAAGCCTCAGTTTCCTCATCTATAAAAATAGGCATAATTCTAGTACCTACCCCAAAGGGTTGCTGTGAGGATTAAATGTTAGCATTAAGTATGCCAAACCTCCAAAGGAGTGTCTGTCCAACCTTCAGAAAATGTTAGCTGCTCTCATCATTATTGATCAAGTACTGTATGTGAGTGCTATGCAAATGCGTCCGCTATGTGTTAAGCATGTAGCCCTTTTTGTTAGTCTTATGGGTTCACCGCATTTTCCCCCTAAATCACTCTTAATTCTCCCACAGTGTCTTTACTTACTCTTCCCAGGCAGGTGATCCTCCTTTTTCTTAATAAATATCTTACTTTGGAAATGTGGCAGAATTTTTCTTAAGTCCCAGCTAGGATCACCAGCTTCAGTGCTGTCTCTGGTGATGCCAGGGAGGAACCACTCCTGCTTGAACCTTTGCTTCTGGCTTCAGCACCTCTCACTTGCTTTACAGCCAGAACCCAGAGCCAGTCTGGATGCTCTTTGCTCAGCCATGGGTGCTCCTCTGCTTTTAAACAGTCCTCACATCCTCCAGGTGAATCTCCTTAGCTTGCACATGGCCTTGCTTTCTGCTTCCACTTGTCATTTTGCTTCCCGCCCCTGGGTTTGGGCTTCCCCAGGCTCTGAGAGGTTGGAACAGTCCCTGGCTCTGGGAGTGCTGCTCCCATTGACGTTCCTGTGACAGGTCATCAGCAGGGTGAATCATGCTTGTGATAAGTAAGCGGCGGCTGATGGCTGTAATCCCAGGCTTGGCCTGGACCCTCGTCATGGTCAAGCATCCTCCCGGGATTCAGGCTGTGACGTCCAGGGCCAGTCTGCTCCTATCAGAAGCATCCCTCCTGCTAGAAAGAAGGTACAAAAGACAGCCTGGCTGTGTCAGAACCACCCAGAACAGTGGGCCAAGATACTGCAGAACAGCACTGGACTCATCTTATAGGCACTATACATAGTGAATTGGCCTTCCCAGGCAGATAAACAGTAATTAGGAAGCAGAGCTCTTTGATGAGACCCACTTCATCTTGCTCAGTTATTTGCTTCTTTGTCCCCACTTGTCCCTCAAACATGCTTTCTCTTCCTTGCATGGTAGGAAACATTTCTTATAAAGAACCTGCCATGTCCCGGCCTCACTCTTCCTTCTCATGCAATACAGTCCTAGAAACCCCATCTAACCCTGCATGTGGAAGGAACTGTGCCTCACAGCCTGCAAGCTCCATGCAGCTTCAGTCTCTGCCATCTCCCTGCCACCTCGGAGAGGAGAGAGTAGAGACAGAAGGGAACATCTTCTGAAACAAGCTGCAGGGAGGGCTGGGGAGCCTCCGCGTGCTCCCCCAGGGAGCGCTGTGGAGAGGGCTCCCTCTGCAGGTTACCTGGCGGCTGGCCTCTGACTCCGGGGACAGAGAAGGCTGTTTCTCCGTTCCGCCTGCTCAGCGAACTCCATCTGTTTCACTTGCACAGTCCTTTTCCTTCCTTGTTCTGGCTCCCCTGAGACACAAGAGCCCAAGCTATAAAATATGTGTCACCGTCAAGGGAAAGGAAAGAAAGCCGTGAACCTCAGCATTTTACAGACGAAGGACACAAGCATTGAAGATGAGAAGCATTATTAGGATGCTCTGCACAAGGGCTACTCTAGTTCACTGTGTGCTCACACGTGTTGTGCACAGAAAGTGACTGCAGTCTGGGAGGGGCGCTCTGAGCGTGCCTACCTGGGGACCCCTCAGAGATACTGACTTAATAGATTGTGCTGGGGCACAGGCTCTGCATTGTTAACAGGCTCCTGGAGTGATTCTCATGCAGGTGGTCTGGGGACCCTGCTCTGAGAAATGCTGCTGTGAGCTAAAGAACAAGGCAGGGAAATAGACACCCGAAAGCAGAAATCCCTGTTTGTTTACTGAGTGAGTCTAACTGGCTTTCTTAAATGGTGGGATGAGAGACACCAAAATCTAACATCTTACTTTATCGGTAGATATGCCGAGTTTGGTTCCTGTTAGGGAATTTAACCTGTTCTGGCTGAGGAACAGGAATAAGACTTCTAAGTGCACCTGTGCCCTGACACATGGTCCAGCTGTGAAGGTGACCACACAGAGTGGGACACTGCAGTCACAGGTCTGCCTTTGTGCCCGAGTGGGGTTTGGTGGGGCAGGAAGTGGGGCTGTGGGCTGTGCACTAGGTTGGTGAGGCAGGAAGTCGGGTGAGGGAGATACAAGCCCGTGGCGGGACAGAAGCTCAGGCAGCCCCCCTGGTGACAGGCTGTGTAGAGGTGGGCCCAGGGCTCTGTAAACACAGAGGGAGGGCAGCTGCTCCTGTGGAGCGTCAGGAAAAGCTTCGTGGAGATGTGACTTTACAGAGAATAAAAGGAGAAAAATTCAAGCATTTTTAAGAAAAAAGAAAACAGACTTGGTTTTATGGTGAAATCAAGACAAGAATAAAAGACAATTAAAAAGAGGTCAGGATGGGAGGGGCTAGAGAAGAAAAGTAAAGACAAATTGCATCGTAGCCACAAGGCTTCACTCCACCCAGCAGCCTGAGAGCAGGAGTGTCCAGAGGGCTGGGGAGGGCGGCCGCAGTCTCCTGTCACCACCTGGCCTGGTGTCCAGCTCCACCCTCCTCTCAGCCCAGCCATGGGCACGCTCCTCAGAGCCTGGGGCCATTATTTAGTTCCTCCTTCGCCCAGCCCAGTGCAGTGCTGCCCAGAGTCATAGCTCAGTTATGTTTGCTCACCAGATGAATGACCATCCTGGATCCATAACCAAGATCCCAGAGGTCCCTGTGAGCCAGGAAGGAGAGTCTGGAGAGGGGGTGGGGAGTGAGGGGGTGGATGACAGCTTACTGCCACTTCCCATCTTCTAAAACGTTTTTCCTAAGAGTTTGTTTGACAACATATGCCAAAGAGCAAGATCGCAAATGCTCCCCAGTCTTTTTCAGTCAGTTATTTTGATTACTGTGATGGCTGCGGACATTATTTATTCAGGATGATCTTTTTCAGGCATTTCAGGTGGTTTGTGCTCTTCCCAGATAGGCCTCGAGGTTTCATTTCCATGTATTAGATCTAAGAGCTAACAAGAAGGGATGTAGAATCCCAAACCCAGAGGCCCTTAGCCTGGGGATCTCCCTGTCTCCTCCCAGGTGGAGTGGACCTGCTCTCTGGGAGAGCGATCGGAGCACAGGCGCATCCTGGGTCCAGTGGCAGGACCGGGATTGGAAGAGAAAAGCATGCCATGGTCCTGAGGAGCCGGTGCTTCTGCGGTAGAAACAGCCCAGGCATTAGACACTGGGTCTGCCTGACAGTTGTGCCCAGCCAGGGTCTCTGGTGACTGCTGGCCACGGTGAACCTCTGGCCTGTTTCTGAGTAGTTGGGAAGTGTGGCCTTTGTGTGTAATACTGTGAAGACAGATCATCCTTTACCTTTAAGAAACGGTGGCTGCTCATAGGTGACTTCCCCAGCCCGCACATGGGATTGGCGTCATTAGGATTTCCTACCGGAGCTCCAGGGCCTGCTGGTAGCAGGTGACAGGCTGCACCTCCCAGGACTCTGGCACCTCCCATGGGGCTGCTGGGCCTGGTGTCTGACACTCCCCTTTCCATTTTCAGGGGCGAATTCGGCCTGCGGGAGTACTCCGAAGTGAAGACTGTGACAGTCAAGATCCCCCAGAAGAATTCCTAAGGAGGCCAAGAGGGAAGTGAAGGTCGCCTGCGCGCCCCCCTCCCCCCTCTCTGCTTTCCCTGAGGGGCCCAGCTCTCAGGAATCCAAAGTTGACACTCGGTCCTTATTTAAAGATGAAAATGATGACACATAGGCCAGGCCGGTCCCTGCATCACTAAAGCAAGCCAGCTGGGCAGTTTCTTGGCACTCTGTAGGGAATCACCTAACGATACCAAATATTGGGGAGGGCAGGGTGAAGGAAAGACGGTGATTACCGGCACCCCCAGTATCTCTCTGAAGTGGGGCTGGATAGAGAGCTGTGATATTGGATGCCTTCTGTCACAAGACCCTTCCTCCCTCGGAAAGGCGGCCTTCCCGCCGCTGGCTTCCTCTTCCCGGTCCAGGCGCTCCCTGCTCCTCCCCTGCTCCTGCTCCTCCGTGGAGAGCTCAGCTGAGCTCATTTGGGGCAGATGTTTGGGCCGGGAACAATTTTCCAAGGTTTTGCAGCCAAATTACCATTTCATGTTATCCATTTCTTCAAAGCAAATTATTGAAATGGCTTTAGTTAGAGCCAGGCCAGACGGACAATGCCAGGAGCTGGTGCACTGCAGATACACTAGGAAGGAGGGAGGAACTGGGGATTTTCCAGACCCAGCCTGGGTTTCTCACATCCACGGGGAGCCCGAGGGCAGGACCAGGAAGGTGGTACGTAGTTCCCAGCTTCTGAGCTCGGGCATGTGTGACAGAGGGGGTGCACACCTGCATTTGATTCCTCGGTTGTTCTAGAATAAGGCAGGGAGGGGGTTGTTCTCATAGATGAATAAGACCTTTTCCAAAGTTTATCTTTCAAGTCAACCAAAGCAAGCTGAGTAGGCTCGAGCATTTGGAGAAAGGCAACGCTGGGTGCCTTCCAGAAATAATTTTGTTTCCAATGCCGCTTGACAATTCTTAACTAAGTGGATTACCTCTGCGGTTGGATCAATAGTTTCTCCTGTGCCCCAGCCCCCACTGCACCACCGGTGGCTCCCCCCAGTGCCATGGGTGTTGGCCTCTCCTGCCTTAAAACGCCCCAGTTCCACTGGCAGGAACCTTGGGAAATCGGGCCAAGCCTGGCGGTCTTTTTTCCTGTTGGCACAGTGCCAGTGTACCCCGGTCTCCACGCTGCACCAGAGCTCCCCTGCCCTTCACAGTGGCCCCTGCCGGACCGGTCTTGCCTCTCCGCCTCTTGAGCGGGGAGAGAAGCAGGCTGGCCCCTTTCCTCCCAGCCACGCACTCCTCTCCCGTGAGCCCACCAGTGTGAAGTGAGCGGTGTCCGCTTTCTTTCCTTCTCCTCTCCTTCCAGCTGCCAAAGCCAACCCCATCTCTAACCTAGAGGAAGATCATTTATTTAAAAGTACCCAACATAACCTAGAGTATATGGAATGTGGGCAACACATATATAGCCTTCTGTATTTAACTGTTTCTGCTTCCTAACCACACCGGGTTCCCTTTCTAACCCTGGTCTGTCCACATTTTAAAGAAACCCCTCCTCGCTGTTACTTACCTACGACAGAGCATTCCGTGGCCCGACGCCTCGAGGGATGCCACGTGTCCGACCCTCCGTGTGAATGTCATGCTCTCCCCTTATAGCGTGTGCCCAAGGGAACATACCCGTTAACCAGCTAGTTACCTTCGAACTGCGATATAGAATGTGAAAATGAAGATTTATTTCTTTTAATTTACTTAAGAAGAAACCTCTGTGCTAGCAATAAAGCATTTATATTGTGTACTCCTCAGGGCTCTGGCTGTGTTTGTAAGTCTGTGTCACACGCGCATCCCTCTCCCGGCGGCCGGGCACCCAGGGTGCCGCTCTCTGGTGACGGAGCAGGAGTCCGAGAGGGTGTTCTTACAGCCGAGGCAGGGCAGACAACACCCTCATTTTCTGACATCACTTAGAATGTGTGTGTGTGTGCAGTTTTATGTGGCAAACACGTATAACCATCTACGAAACACGTGAAATAACATTTTTCATTCAAAATAGCCTCCATGAGAGCTAAATGTGGAGGAGCTTGGGAGATCCAGTTCTCACAAACGTGGCTACGTGTTGAGCTCACGTTGCTGATGGCACTTGGCGTGGCTGCATTTGAATTTACCGGAGCAAAATGAAGTCGAGGCTGACTGCCTGAGGCAACATTTTGCAGCTGTAAGAAGGAAGCTGTCGGATGACTGTACCACCACCTACAGCTTGTTTGCTCTGTCTTATGTTCTCAGAGTTAAGCTTTTGTGGAGTGGCATCCACTTTTGTAGACTTGCACATCCCCTCCTTCCAATCTCCACCCAAGCCCAGGTCTAGTGAGACGAACACAGAGTGGGGACGTGGCTGCAGAGGAAAGCTGCGTCTGTGGCTGGGATTCGGCCGCTCCCTGCTGTGTCTCATCCCTCAGAGGAGCCAGTGGTGTGGGTGAGAGAGCAGCCTGGGGCCCCAAGCTGAACTCCATCTATAAGAGGCAGGCTTCCTGCTTATTTCCCTCATGCTCAGCAAGAAAAAGGAGTTGGGCGTAGATAAGCATGGAAGTCCTCTGGGCAGGTGCATTTGTAGCGCTTATTTGTAGCAGGAATTAGAAGAAAGACTTTGTTCTTCAAAGCATAGCATTCCTCAAACTTCCTCCCTTTATGATTCTGACATACAGGCAAGTGCAGGCCGCATCACAGATGTCAATAACGAAATGGAGACCCCCATCGGTCACCTGTCATCAGCACTACGTAGTGACGGTCTTTTCCCCACGTAGCCGGTTTGTGAGAACAGGGCCCCCAAATTCATTTAGCTTATTGTTAACACCTGAGATTTCCGTTGTACCTTTTCCTCCAAAACACCCTCAGTGCACTCATCTCGATGGTTTCATTCTTTTTCATGACATTTTAGTTAATAAAGGACAAAGATATTATAATGTAGGGGCTAAGAAACAGAACCCACTGGACTGTGTGGGAGAACAGGAAGGCATCCAAGAAAAGAGAACAAAGAGAAGTGAGTAGAAGGGGTGGGTTTTGAACTGGGAAAACCCATTGCATTCTGATAGGCCGGGAAGCAAGAGGAAGGGATTTCTGGTTAAAGGAGAAAGCCGAAAAGCTGCAGAGGCGAGGCCAAGGCACCCCTCTCTGACGACTGTGAGGATACGACGCCAGAGCAGGCCTGGCGTGCTGGCAGCGGTCAGCTTGCGGAGGGCCTGGGGCAGCCACTGTCCCCAGGTCACGTCACAGAGAGCAGGCGTCTCCAGCTCTTTTGAGCATGCAGTTGTGGAGCAGCATGGAGAAGAGACACAGGCTGTCTCCTCTTGGTGTAATGCTTGCTTGGTCATGGGGATGAAGGGGAAGGAAATAAACCAGGGTATCAATCACCAGAGCCTGATGAATGAATATGAAAGATGAAAAGTAGGCCAGGAAGCTTTCAAGCCCAGCTGAGTGAGGAAATGGCAGCACCACTGCCCCAGAGGTTGAAACATGGAACAAAGTTTTGAGAAGAAAGTCTTGCTGTCAGGCTTTGGACGTGGAAATTTTGGGATGATAAAGAGGTATCCAGACAGAAATCTCCAACAGGCATTTAGAAACAGGGGGTCAGAACCTGGCTCAGGTGATCGAACTATAGCACGAACATAAAAGGGATGGCTCTGAATGCAGGAATAAGAACAAAACCAGGTGCTGGCTGGTGTGTCCAGTGGTTAGAGCAATAGCCTATGCACCAAAGAGTTAAGGGTTAAATTCCCAGTCAAGGGCAGGTTCCTGTGTTGCAGGTTCATTTCCCGGCCCCATTGGGGCACATGTGGGAGGCAACCAATCCATGGCCTCACTCATATTAATGTTTCTCTCTCCTTCCCTCTCACTCTCTCTCTAAAAATCAATGGGAAAAATATCCTCAGGTGAGGATTAACAAAAAAACAAGAAAACAACAGCAACAACAAACACCAGGGCCAGCGAGAAGAAGCTGAGCAAAACAAGAGGAGGCTGTAGTGAGAGAAGGAGGAGGAGATCGCACCAGGTGTGCCCCCAGAAACCAGGGGAGAGCTGAAGAAGGCAGGCAGCAAAGAGGGTAGAGGATGAAGGTGATGGGAGGAGACCCTGACTTTCTCTCTTCCTTTATGGAGTAGAGACTGCTGGGTCTGTGGGCTGAGGAGGCATAAGCAACCCCTGCCTTGTGCGTGCTTTATGCCTTTCACAGGCCCGTGCTCAGCAACAGCCTTGCAGCCACCAGGCCTCCCCGAGCCATAGGGCAGACTCTACCAATAAGCCAGTGTCCCCTCAGACCCTCTGGAAAGAGGACGTGAACCCACAATTAGTTCATGTCACATTGAGTTAGAAGAAACTGGAGCTGGACTAGCTTAGCTGGCCGAGGTCAGGCAGGAGGAAACTGGCCATGGAATAGTGTCAACACGTGAGCAGAATTGTGAAAGGTGTAAAGAGGAGAGAGAACGAGACTGCTGGGGAAAGTCTTGGTTCCTGCCCTGTGGGCAGTCTCTTCAGCCGCAGCTGACCAGCGACGAGGAGGGGTGAAGAGCACGCTGCATCAGAGGGCTGGACAAGCGATCAGAAGCCCTCGCTTGGAGCCCGGAATCGGCCATCACAAGCTGGCGTTTTGGGGTAGTGACTCACTTCCGTGGGCCTCCCCTGCCTCCGTGGGATCACGATGATTGCTCCTGCCCTGCCTGCCTCCCAAAGCTGAGTGAGGACTCATCCACGTCATGGCTGATGCATTTCGGAGACACACCACTTTAGACAACTACGGAGAGTAAAAACAAAATGATTCCGTTGCTTTGCTAAGTCAGCAGGTCATGAGAATTCATCATTTCTTACTTCCCAACCCCCAGCTTTGAGGCCATCGGGTGGACCCCCGATCCCCCAGGGTAGGTTTCCTGTGGGTTTCCAGGCAGGTGGACTCCATGGGAATTCCTCCAGCCAGCTAGGGGCAAGTGCAGCTCCGATGTTCCCCAGGCTTTGGTCGTGTGTATTTAACACGTTGTTCAGCCGCTCCGTAGGGTGCTGGCTGGCGG